TTTTTTTTTGAGCTATACAGCCATAGTATATTGAATTGTGAAAACCACTGTAGGTACTGATTTTAAAAATCACAGTATGGCTGTCAGCTGTGCTCATGATGTTGACTGCACAATTATCCAAAACAGTTTTAAGAATATAAACATCTAGGCAGTCTGATTCCCATTTTGTTAGTTAGAGAGAGCTGACATAAGATGCACTGCAGCGATGTATTATTTTGATTACCTTCCTTGTAAAAGTGTCTTGTGTATCAGGTGGGATCAGTCCCTACTGTTCTGAGCTCATCTGTCTAGTGAAGAATCAGAAAAGAAAAAGAATAGATGGAATATTAAATGCTTTCAGAAAATGAGGGGGAAAGTGCACTAGCTTTGAAAGTGAAGCAGCATGTATCGTTTCTCCTTCCATTGGCTGTTTATCCAACATCAATACAACACTTTAGGAGCCAAATTACTAAACAAGCTGCCAATTAGGCTTGCAGTCAGCTGGATAGATTAGTGGCTAAGAGAGGCAGATACAAGATTTTCATCTCTTGAGCCAATTACGCAAGTGAATTACCATCCACAATGCTCCTTGGAAGATTTGAGGTAGAAAGACTGACTCTGCTGTGATAGACATAAGTGAGATCCTGGGTAGGGAGTAAGGGTTAGCAGGCCATGTATTGCAAAAATTACCCAAGCAAAAAGAGATCCTTCTAGGAAAGGATTTAAAGGATTTAAGGCTGCGGGGAGCGATAGAAGAGGAAATAATAGTTGTGGTATGCTCTGCAAAGGCATTGCTGTTCTGCTCACAAGTCTTAATCATATGAAAGAAAGATGAAAGGCCAAGACTGTATTTATGTACAGTGTCGTTTTCTCAGAACTGTTTAAAAACCCATTTTCTTAACATCAAAAATAGTCCTGTGGCCAGAGATGAAATTACTTCAATATGCCTTCATTTGTTGCTTACAACTCAGGGGGCAGGAAAAGAAAAAAAAAAATCTTAAATAAATATCTCTTATTTAAGAGATTGAACCTAGCTATATTCTGATTTTATTCGCCCCAATATAAACCAAACATGCTTGATGTTAGTATTATCCAGCAGTTGGACCATACAAATAAATGTTGTTACAATAATGGTTTATGGGGTCACAGTTCCTTTATTAGTCTGTAATAAATGATAACTTAATTGGTGATCTTTTAATTTTTTAGAAGCATTTTGCAAATAAAATGGATCTGTTGGATCAAAACTGTGCATAGGCTCATTTGTTTCCT